AGAAAGATTTTTAATGAGTTGCTCAGTAGACAGTTCAGCTGAGGTAATTTTATATTATGTGGCATGGATGATTTAAAAATTTAAATCCAATAAACACATAAAAGACACACCCTACTTTAGCTCTGTGTGGTTATATGTATGTATGTATGTGTGTGTGTGTAGCTTTCACACAACATACTTTAGCTGTGTGATAGTATCTGTGTGTATGTATATAATTTAGAAACCCTGCTTTAGCTATGTGTTAGTTTTTTCCCTCTGACCGTATAATTCTATTTTAAACATGAAGTAAGATGGCTTAAAAATATTAATTATAGAAGCCAAGCTTCTCTGAGTCATGCAGTGACCTTCCTCCACCCTACCCCCACCCTGTCGCCTCCCCTGTTACTTTTACGCATTTGGCACAACCAGTCTTCTTTAATGAGACAGAGATTTCCTTTCCAAGAAATGAGTGTAAGCTCCAGACTGAAAAGATGAAAATGCTAATGGGTGGTGTCTGGCTCACCCAAACTGACTTCTCCAGGTGTGCGTTACATATGTGCTGGGTTTTTTTTGCCTGTAACTTAACAGTCCATGTTTTTCAGCAGCGTTGTCTATATCTAAGGGAATAAGAATGGTTGCTAAGAAAAAAAAATACATTGAAATTACACTGCTGAGACTCTTTGTACGTTCTTTTTCCTTTTGATGGTGGGAGGATCTTTGTATTCAAAGATGGAATTAACAAGAACTTTATACCATTGGCTTAAATTTAAACAGGAATATATCCATTTAAAATTTTTGCCTTGAATGAGTAGACAGATGAGTTCAGCCTCAGGAAAAGTTGGAATGGGTTTCCTCCAAGCATGAAGTGGGCAGAGGGCTCTGTTTTGTTTTTTCCATGGCAGAGGTTTGATCTAGAGGAAGTAAGAGGCTTTTTGCCTGAGTCTAAAGAATTAAAGAAGAATGAAAATGGGATTACAGTATCTGATGCTGGACTCCTTATTGTTTGTGTCAGAATTTAAATTATTTGTTCATAGTTGGTCACAAGACCTCAGTCTCTATTCCGTGCTAGGAGAGTATTCTTTCAAAAAAACAGGAAGCAACACTTTAAGTAATTGCAGATTTCCAGTGACTACCAGGCTGATCCCTGCTCTTTGTCGCTGCTTTCCTGTTTCAGTCTGGGGGAAGTGGCAGAGAGGGGAGAGAGTGGGGGAGGCGACTCTTACAGTGCTGGCTAAACTGAGCCTCGCTTCACCCTACTGGATGAGTGATGAAAACACTTTAAACAGTTGCCAAACAGTTCAGTAGAAAATATTTGACATCTCACCTACATCAACAAGCAAGAGTTAAAGGTTAAATCACACACACTCAAGTGCTGGGAAAAAGGATATGTTTATGTCATCAATTTTCTTTGTTCTAGGACCGCCCTATGTCAACAAGGAGATAGACAAGTTCCCCGCTCGGAGCCTCCAGGACAATAGAGGCTGATCTACAATTTGTGCATGGTGACATATCCCCTTCTAAGCATTTGCAGCTTGCTTCTAGTTACATGGACTTCTTCACAGTTCTTTGTGCGCTTCCAGATAGCTCTATACTTAGAACAATATGGTGGTGGCCTTTGCTCTTTCTCCACGCAGATTCTTGAGATCCCAAGCATGAAGCTCGGCATAGAAGGAGGAAAACCTGGGCAGGGGAAGGTGTTTTTTTCATCTCATGCATTTCCTGTGTTGATTACAAACCCCTTAATGTCCACCTTAAAATCTGCTAGGTGGTAGGGCCAGGGAGATGTACTTTACAAAACTGGTGCTCGCACACAGGGAGGGCTTTTCTGGAGAGATATTTAGTGCCTTTCACAAGGAAAAAGGTAAAAAGTTTGAGCAGGAGATGTCTTGACCAAATCAATAAAGCTTTAAATTGGAATTTGTGAGGAAAAGAAAGTATACCTAGATGACTAAGAAAACTATTGCCATGGAGACCAACAGGTGTGTCATGGGAGGGCAAAAAATAATATAGAAAAATGCTTCTTATCTTTTGGTGGATCAAGGTCCCTTTTGAGAATCTGGTGTGAGCTATGGATTACTTGATTACACTAAAGCTTATGCCCATGTTCAGGAGGATCAGAAACTCCTTGATGACCCTCTACAGAAGTCTTAGCAGTCAGTGGGCTCCTGGGTGGCTCAGTTGGTTAAGTGTCTGACTCCTGGTTTTGGCTCAGGTCGTGATCTCAGGGTTGTGAGATCGAGCCCCACGTTGGGCTCTGTGCTCAGTGTGGAGTCTGCTAAAGATTCTCTCCCTCTGCCGCAGCCCCTCTCCACACTTCTCTTCCTCTCTCTCTCTCTCTTAGCCACTTCATCTCTCTTTCTCAATGTCTAAAATAAATGTAAAAATCCTTACAAACAAATAAACAAACAAACAAAAAGTCTTAGCAGTCAGTCTAGGGCTCCAGTTAGATGCTTCTGATATGGAAAGTAAGAATAGCCGTACATATTCCATAGTCAAAAATACCTTTACAACTAAACGTTTCCTAAAATCAGGATTCTGGATCCCTTTCCCTAGAGGGTGCTAGAAGAGAAAGGCTAACTCTTTCTACTTTTCTTTCTGTTTCCTATAGATATTGTCTACCCATTAGTTGCTAGGTTCTTTTCATATGTTAATACTGTCTTTCAAGCTACAATAAAACTGTTGACTGTTCTTATTTCTGGCTTGAAAAATCTTTGCCCAGGTCTGTGGACTTGTTCTCTTTCTAGTCTGTCTGTCAGCAATATGTCTGATTTGAGGTAGATACATTAAACCATTATCACCTGATTCCATGAAATATTGCCATCACTTAGAAAGCATCCTTTAACTTGACTTGAGGTTCACCGACAATCTGGTCAATTTTCACGTACCATTACGGTTATTGCAGAATCCCACAGTAAAATTTGGACTCATTATTTCAGAGCTACAGTGGTTTTCAGACCTTGTTGTCTAATGATTCAAAAGAGAAGCACAGATTTTTATTACACTAATTGTGATAACTGCATCCCAATATAATTGGCTTTCTTTGAGTTACCATAGTTTTAATGTATTTCAAAACATTATTTCAAGAAGCAGTCCCCAGGCTAGTCAGACTGCCCAATGGATCAATGGCAAACAAAGTTTAAGGACACCTGGCAAAGTACAATAGAAATACGTTTTCACAGGTGTTTGACTGGTATTCAAGGTTAGTAGATTTGCTGGAAATATTTTAAAGGTACCATTGTGCTCACAAGAATGAATCATGGCCTAACAAGGGTGAAGACATCCTGCCACTCGACAGTGGAATCTGTAACCTGGTGGGACTGCAGGACTGGCCGATGTGGCTGCTTGAATATGGCTATGTCTGCCTTGAGGGGACCTTTCTTTCTTTCTTTCTTTCTTTCTTTCTTTCTTTCTTTCTTTCTTTCTTTCTTTCTTCTTTTTTTTTCTATTTTTTTCTTATTGAAGTATAGCTGACACACATTATATTGGTTTCAGGTTGAGTAAACCATTCTTGCAAGATCCTTGCCTGAGCACTTGAGGCAGAAGCTGAGACTTTACCAAATCTATAAGGTCTCCTGACTGTGGCTTTTCTGCCTGGTTGTTATGAAATGTTGAAAAGAATGTCAGAATGTGGATTGAGAACTACTTTCATCACAGCATAAACATGGCATGGTGTGGCTGTTGTAGGGGGAAGGTGTGGAGAGCTTATGGCTCTTCTGTACCTGTGACCTTCAGAGGCTATGAAAAACTTGACAGTTTTGAGCAGCTGAATGGACTTATGTGAGTTTTCCTTCACTTTTTTTTATATTGGTTTTAGCAGTAAGCAGTGCAGTGTTTTCCATGGGCAACTAGTTTGATTTTACTTTCTGACATTGTGAATCTCAGAATTGGTTTCTTTCATGTTGGCTGCTTGGCAGTCAAGAGTTAAATCTGTTGGCTGCCTATAGCAAGTAAATAAAATTTCATGGCATAAATTTTGTACTTCTATTTCATTCTTAGGAGGCAGCATAGTGAGTGATTAAGAGCATGAGCTCTGGAGACAGACAATTTGGGTTCAGATCTACTAGTTAACTAGCCAAGGTCACTTGGATGTGTTAACCTTTCAGTTTCTTTATCAATCCTCATAGAGGTATTTGTGATTGTTGGATAATCCATGCCAAGCATTCAGAGCATCAGGGTTCCAGTGAGAACAAAAAATTGTTAGATACTATCCCTGGCTTCAAATTACTTTCCTAGATTATTTTTTCTCTGTCTCATGCTTTATTACTTTTTTGCTCATTGAAATCTTATTACTATATAGAATCCATGTTTTATAAACCTCCTGCTTTCTTTCTGGCATCCTGACAGCAGTTTGAAGGATGGATTTGTGAAGAATGGGATTAGTATGGCAGCCAGTTAGAACAGTATAAGAATAATCCATTTGACAGATGATAACTAAACATAGCAGTAGGAATGTGGAGGAAGAGAGGTATCTGACATATTTACTAGATTGAATTGACAGGACCTTGTGAGCCATTTTAGGTGAAAGATAAATAATAGGGAATCTGGGATAACTTCCAGTTTGCTAGTTTAGATGACTGGGCAAATGATGGTACCATCAATCAGGATCAGTATTAAAAGTAGTGTCCTGGAGGTGGTTAGTGATAGTAATAAACAATGAGTTATGTTTTGGCCATGTTGAATTTCAAGTTTTTTTGTGGGATTATTAAGTGAAGCCCAGTGAACCATTGAAAATAAGCATCTACAGTTCAAGAGAGCTTATAAGGCTGGATACATTGGTTTAGGATTTAGTAGAGTATTCATTTTTAACAATGCTTAGGGGTAAAATTGCCTGGTAATAAGTGAAAGCCATGGGACTTTTGGGAAACAGACTTGAGGACAAAGGCCATGACTTATTCATCTTTGTACTTCCAGTCCAGACACTAGCCCAGTCCCTGGTACAGAGAAGATTGCCAAACATTTCTTTCATGCCTTACCAGATGAATGTGTAACTAAAAAGAAGAAAGCTCCACAGGTGACTGAGAAGGAGCAATCAGAAAGATGACCACGAACTAGAAGCAAGTGATTTCCTAGAAGACGAGGTACCAGAGTTTTAAGAATGAAGGTATGGTCAGCATTTGGGGGTCTTAGATGGCATAAAACTGAGACAATGAGTTAGTGCACTGTACAAGGAAATTAGGACTTTAAGATTTCTCAAGTGTGGAAATCAGAGTTGTCTTATGGTTACTTACTAGGGATAAATGTAAAATCCTTACTTAGGTTTAAAAAATCAAAAGCACAAATACTGGAAATAGATGGCCTGATTTAATCACATTCCTAGGATTTAATAGTATGCTGAAAGGTCAATATAAATTAATTCTAGAGTATGACTGCCAAGGTATATAATTGGGCAATGCTAATAAAAATATACAGTAAAGAAATGTGGAATATTTTCATATATGTCACAGATACAGTTGGAGAAAATGCATTTCAAAAGGAAAAGTTATAAAACTATAGTATATGCAGGGAACAAAAAGCAGAATGAGGAAGCATCTGAAAGTCATGTCATTCACTTGAAGATTGGTTGAGGGAAGACATAGGAGGGACACAGTATGTCCCAGCTTCATGCTGCAGAGAGTCCATGACGTGTCCCCTTGGGACAGGTTGATATTTCTTGGTGTTCAAGAGAGCTCCTTTGACCTATTTCCCTTCCACTTTCCCCTTTATCTCAGAGATGGAGGGAGAATTTGAAGCTCAAATATTTTTCTCTCATTTTGTTAACAGAAAACTGTGTGATAGTTACTCTTCAACACTTCTTATTAATCTTATTCTTTGTAGTTAGTCTTTGATCAAAGGTGGAACTGTAAAGTGATCAACTGAGAGAATCCAATTCACTTTGAGAAGTTTTCTATAATTAAGCTTGTCCTTCAACAGAATTAGCTTTTAGTGGGAAAAACAGTGAGCTCTCTCCTCTGTTAACTTATTGAACCAATATTTTGGGGACATCTACCAATATTCCTAAGATAGAGATCCCTAAATAGTAGGGACATAACAGGAAACCAGTTTGATCCCTGCCCTACTGGATCTTACATTTTAGATTTATTTATTTATCAAGAGTTTATTAGGCTCATGCTGGGTAGTAGACTAATGCTTTCCCTCAGGGATATAGTGAGAAAGGTTTCTATTCTCATAGTCTTTATAGCCTTACAGGGAAGAAAATATTAAGCAAAGAAATATACATAAAGTTACAGACTAGGTGATCATTTGTACTATGCAGCAGGATGAATTCTAAAAGGGAGAAATTAATCAGAAGAACTAATGAGGTTTGGTGAGCTGTGGACTGGTCTCTCTAAAGATGGGCCAGTTACAGGTAATATGGAGAGAACTATATATGACGAGTATCCTCTAGGAATAGAGAAAAGGCAGAAGTCACTGGAGCCAGGTGAATAGGGGAGACAAGTTTGGTGAGAGCAATGTCTGAGTCTTTGTAAGAATTGGCTTTATTCTAAGTGCAATGGGAAACCACTGAATAATTTTAGTGAGGATGGTGATATAATAAAAAAAAAATTTAAAGGAAGGAGTCTTTTGGATTCTGTGTGGAATGCATCACAGAAGGTAAAATTAGATGCGGAGAAAGTAAAGACTCCATTGTCTCAGAATGATGAGAGGTAATGGTGCTTTGCAGGAGAATGGAGGCATAGATGGATTCAAAACATGTTCTAGAGTAGGCTTAATAGTCATTGCGAACCTGACTTGAATTCCATGGATTTGATATGGGTAGTTAGGACAAGGAAGATTTGGAGAATAATCCTTGAGAATCTAACTCCTGTGACTGGCTGCACTGTGAGAGGCGTCCTTGGTGGAGCTCCATGTCTGGGGTGGTTGGGAGATTGACTATGAACATGAGTTCCTTTTGGACTGGTGAAGCTTGTTGGGATGACTGTAGACACACAAATACTATCAGTTACAATCGAATAAAGATCAGAGAGTCTATGACGTGTCCCCTAGGGACAGGTCAATGATATTTCTTGGTGTTCAAGAGCGCCTTTGATATATCACCCTTCCACTTTCCCCTTTATCTCAGGGATGGAGGGACAATTTGAAGCTCAAATATTTTTCTCTCATTTTGTTAACAGAAAACTGTGTGATAGTACTCTTCAACACTTCTTAAGAAAGAATTCAAACAAAAGCCTTATTACCTGTGTTGATTCAAATCAGAGCTATAAAAATGCTGTTTTTCAGATTATCTGTGGTCTTTTACTTATGGTATTTATATTTCTCCTTTTTTTTTGGTTCATATTGAGAATGACTTCAGAGGTCTCTTTTAATGATGAAGATACTCTCTAGAGGTTTGATTGTTTGCTAGAAATCTCAAAGAATTCAGTGGCATATATGTTGCAGGTATTTCTTCCATTGAAGTATAGCATAGAAGAATCTCATGTGAGAAATTGAAAAGTTGCCCAGAAATTGTTAAACATCAGTGTTTTTTGATAAGATTGGTGGGCAGGTATGAGAGATAAGATCATTAAGTCAGGGAAGATAAGCATTCCTATGAATTAATGTATCATTCAGCAATTATGATTAAGTGCCAAAGGTCTTTCAAATAAACAAATAATAATAAGAGAAGGACTAGCCATCACCTAGGATCATGTGGAGTCTCATTATCCTCCCCCAAACCCCAAACAAATAATTTTTCTTTATACGGTCTCTTGATCCACTGCTTCTATTCTTAATGCAACAATTTAGACTACCACCATATTTAAATTCATCATCCGATATGTGGGTCATTGAAATAGGGTTGGTCCTGCTCTCTGGTTTTTTTTTTTTTTTTTATTTCTTCCTGCCCTCCTCCACACTACCATCAAAACAAATTTTCTAAAATGGTTCTTTAATCATGCTTTTCCTGCATTCAAAATCCTCCAGTCAGTTCACATGTTAGGACAGTAGGAAGTCCTACCTCCTGTGATGAGTGCAACCTTCACAGGACCTGGCCAATCCTATTGAATGTGTTTTCCCTGTTCATTGTCCTGTAAACACACTGGACTGTTTCCACCTCTGTGTTTGTTTATGTTGTTTCTTCATCATGGAATACCTGACTCCTCCTGGAGTTGCTCCCTTCTCTGAAGGTCATGATTGAACCTCACTTTCGGGGATGCTCCCAGGGCACTGGATCCTTACAGATTTTGCTTTGCTTACATACTTTCTCCACTTACATGTCCCAGATTTAACATCTGTGTTACTCTCCTCTACTGGAAGGGAGGATCCTCCTTATGATCCTTCCCTGCTCTGTTTCTCAGCAACCCTCTCCTACAGTGCCTGGATGCCTGACCTGAGTTCAGTGGGATCCTTGAATCTGTACCTATATTCAAGGCATTTTCCACTGAGGAAAGAAGTCAGGCTAATTGGAAGGCCTAGTTTTGGAAGTAAGAAGGAAGAAAGATAGCTTTTGCCAACGGCTCTAGAAAGGGTATTGTGCAATAAAATGTAAGGCATTTTTCCCCCCTGTCTTTCTCTGTCTCTTGTCTCTGGCTCAATGTTAAAGCTTATTTCTCCCTTTCTTGTACTGAATCATATTTTTCTTTTTTTTTTTGAATCATATTTGTCTATTTCCTTCCAGACTCTGTTTTCTCCTTCAGTCTTTCATCACTCCTAAACATATGTCACTAGTCATCTAAGACTCTTTTTCTCTCCCAAATCATCTGAACGAAATTGTTAGTTATGTTGTCTAATCTTTCTCTCTTTTCAGTTATAACACTCAATTTCCTTTCCGGTTATTTATTTATTCCTTAAACTTCATTTTTATTCATTCATATTTTTTTGCTGGGTCAAGGGAGACTTTGACTCTCTCTCTCTTTCTATTTCTCTTTTCCCCCTGTCCTAAATAGTTCACTGCTAAAGGGATGGGCATTTCTATATAAAACACAGTTTACATTCAGGCTAAATGGAGAAATATCTTCTTATTCTTCTTGTTCCTGGCCAGTTAGTTGTAATTTTGTGCTGTTTTTTTAAAATATTACCTGACGGTTTATTTGAAATTCTAGGTAAGGTTTTTATAATAAATTACTTTAGAGTCCTCAGGTTTGCAGATACTCTGTGTTACCTATTATATTACCCGCTATTTGCATACTAGCTTGATTTCTGTTGGAGCTATCTGATAATCAATGAATGCTTTGTTGTTTCTTGCCTTTACAATCCTACCATTTAAATCTCTTATATCTGGAGGAAAATGTTGAAGTAGCTTCTTCACATGATATGCAGTAAACAGTATTGTCAGATACATACAGAGGGCGAAGGCTGTTGTCATTTTTAAAATAAATGAATGCCTTTCTTAGTCGTGTAATTACACTGACTCTCTCAGATGAAGTGGTGATTTCCTTCCTTCTGATTAAAATGAGTTCTTGTCCTAACAGTGCTAATCTCATGGACTCTATTACTAAGCATTATAATAGGGAGAGATAAAGTCAGAATAGTTGCACAAATGTGAACTCTATTTGTCCTGAGAGAGTAGTTTGGAAATGAAATGCATAAAATTTAGGTGAACATTTTTCATGTCAGTTGGCTCTTCTTCATACCTGACTGAGACTAAAAAGTCAAACCGTTTTACCCTGAAAGATTCCCAGACTTTAAATAAAAAACTCACCAATGTGAAAATACTACCTTTGCTTTTTAAGGCAAGGTTTGAAATTGTGCTTCTATTTCAATTAACTTATTTGTTGCCTTTCCTGCCCTGTATTCACTCTATCTAGACTTTGAATGTATATGGATGCTGCTTGCAGGGACTTTGGCTTTCTTTAGCGGAGTAGCCTGGACTGTTACTTGAAATATGAGAGGTTTTCATACATTTTGACATTCCATAGTGTACCCTGTCTTAGCTTATTGTCTCTTTAGGAATTGAGCAAAATGAAGATAATAACAATGCTAATAATAGTTTATATTTATTAGGCATTTAATGTGTACAAGGTACAGGTCCACTTGTTTTATATAAACTACATTGATTCATCTTCACAATAATCCTATGATATGGGTACCATTGTTATAATATCTGTTTTCAGATGAGGAAGTGAGACACAAAACTAATAAGCAGTTTGCTCCAGGTAGCCCAGATTCACCCAAGGTAGCTAGGAAAAACAAAAACAACTGGACTCTATTTCCAACTATTTTAGTCACCACTTCATAATAAAACTATAGTGATAAAAAGATAAGAATATTTATAAGTGGCGACAAGGACTGCTTGGCTAGTGGAGAGAATTGATCTTCCAAAGTTAGTAAATATGACTTCTGGAGTCCCCAAAATGCTTGGTGAAGTCAGGGAAAAGGATATTTATTCAATGCAAAATTCCATTCTTCAACTTTATCCAAGAACATCACGGCTTTAATGTAGATAGCATGCAGGTACTACAGAGAGGTATGAATCTTTTGTTTCAGTGACTATGCAGTATCCACCAGGGAATCTAGTAGTGAGATATTCAGGGAGTCAGGAGGAAGGTGTGTTGTGAGAAGGGAAGCTTAGGAGAGGGAACAATGAAGGGCTTTATATTAAGCCCATGGTTAAGGGATCATACTGATGCCAGTGTAGTTGGTTGTCATTATCCAGTTGAAATCATTCTTGAAACACACAGGTAGTCTTACTACTTGCTTGTGATGTGTGCCATAATTTCATATGTTTGAAAGTGCAAATCCAATATGCGTTCCATATTTCTTTTTAGGATCATACACATTTTAATGACAGCTACAAGAAGTGGGTAATGATGTCTGTTAATGGAAGTCTGAGTTCAAGGACAAAGTCATCCCTGTTTGTGAATAATGAGGAGAAATAGGAATATATAGTAAGAATAGCACTTGGGCTTTTAACAGAAGGCCTTTCTCTTTAAACACACACACACACACACACACACACACACATACACACACACACCCTGTATTTAGTGTTCTAAACTATGCACTAAGAAAGAAACATGACTTTACTCCAGAACCTAAAGAATGAGGTACAATATTTATTTATTTATTTATTTATTTATTTATTTATTTATTTATTTATTTATTTTGGATTTTATTTATTCATAAGAGACACAGAGAGAGAGAGAGGCAAAGACATAGACAGAGGGAGAAGCAAGCTCCCTGCAGGGAGTCTGATGTGGGACTCGATCCCGGGACCCTGAGATAATGCCCTGAGCCAAGGCAGACGCTCAACCACTGAGCCACCCAGGCAACCCTAGAACAATATTTAAAACCAATATTTAAAAACTCTTAGATGTTTTTCAATTTCACAATTCCTGCTTAATATAATTCTGGTATTTTCCTTCCAAGGGTCATCCTACTCTCTTCTTATAGATAGAAACCTCCAGATGATGCTCATTCCCTGAAAAAAATTAGTTCAATGGCTCTTCAGTGATATGTTAAATAGATACTCCTTCTTATGTCCTTTACATTTATTATGTTATTCAATCCTCACAGCAACCCTACATTATCACGGAGGCATAGAGAAATGAAATAATTGGTCCTGGGTCACACAGCTATAGAAGGGATTTGGACTCCAGCAGTTACTCTAGGAGTCCAGGCATGAATTGCTGTCAATCTGCAACTTTAATTCTATTGACTAATTCTGGAGCAGAGCCCTAATGAGCTTAGTATGGGAGTGTCCCATTACTCCACAGAACAAGACAAAGATAATGTACCATCTTGTAATAAGATCACACTGAGAAGATCACTTGTACATTCCAGATAGTAAGTCAGGCAGCTTGTAAATCAGTTGAGTTATACCCTTTAGCTATGTCCCTGGGCTTTATCAATATTAAATCACATAGGAGGATTACTTTTACAACCTGTTCTTAAGGGGAGGGGATACATTTCAATCATACTTGAGCAGAGGAATTTTCAAGCAAGTATGATTGCCTTATGTGATAGGAAAGATTGTGGGAAATTAAATGTTTTGAGTGTTTCTTGAAAGTATTGGTATGTCACTAGGAGTTAGCATAAAATTTATTTCAGTTCATCTTTCCAAAGAAAGTATGAGGTAATAATTATTATCTCCACTTGGTAGATGAGAAAACTGAGATTTGAGAAGGCCCACTGACTTTCCTAAGCCTGCAAAAGGCAGAGCCCTGATATAAACCCAGGTGTTTCGATATTCAGAATTCACATCTATCACTTTAGGGTGTCCAAAGATTGTTCTGTGATATAGGATATGGTTTCCAATTTTAAGGACATATTTGCATTAAGCCACACAAATTCCTGTATTCAAAGATGCAAACTGTGCTCTGGGAAAAGATGCCATCTCCTAAAAATCTCTGCAAGGAAATTAATGTGGCAGACAGGTAAGGACTTGGAGATTTCTAAGATGGTGTCTCCATGGATGGTGGTGCATTCACAGAGGGTATTATTTGTTTAAAAAACTGACTCCAAACGAATTTAATGATTCCACTTTGGGACATTTTTTGTTTTTTGTTTTTCCACTTTGGGACATGTTAAAGCTGAAGTGACATTGCAACATATCAGCAGAACTGACTAGTAGGTGATGGAGAACAGAGCTCAGGAGCAAAGTCTGAGCTAAATTATGCACAATATATCGATGGAGATATGAATCAGTGGATGAGATTTCCCACCTTGAATATGTAGGAGGAGCCAGGGGCTAAAGAGAGTTCTGTAAATTACCTAAGAGCTGGGAACCCAGGAAGGAGAGCCTGCAAAGGAGCCTTGGGAATATTCACGTAGGCGGCAGACCTGCAGAGCCACAGGGTCTCTGAAGACAACGCAGAGAGAATTTCCAGTAGAAGGGAGCTGTCAATCACATGCAATAATAGAATTTAGGAGGATGAATGCTGAAAAGGAATCACGTGGGAAAAATATATAGTAAATCACTGGGCATACATTAAAAATAAAAATAAATCAAAGTGTTTTATTAATGGAGTTTCTTGACAATGTTCTTGACTCACAGACAAAGCTAAGTCTTCACTGTAGGCTAACCTATTATAAGCAATGGAAATAATACTGAAAAGAGAAAACTTGCTCATAGTGAATTAGGCATACATCACACAATCATTTGAGATTGGCCACATCTCCTGGTAAACTCGATGAATGACAAAGAAGCAGCACGACTGGGGATGACATGGAGGAGGGAACTGGGAGGTGGAGAGCATGGATCCTGGGAGAGTATTGTGTGGACTCAGATCCACCGGGAATGAGATGGGAAAACGTTGGGAGGTTTGAGCAAAGGAATGATACGATCTGACTTATAATTCCACAGGATACATCCAGGATACATCTATGTTGGGAGTAAAGTGTGCGGAGGTGCAGACAAAGCAGCAAGACCAGCTCAGAGGTGACTGGAATCCAAGAGACAGATGGTAGTTGCTTGGGCCAGGGTGGTAATGGTACATGTCAGATAGCAGGTGCATTTTGAAGGCGAAGCCCACAGAGAGAATACTGGAATAGGAACCGGAAACTTCGTACACAAAACTCTTTTTTCTAGTTTTTTTTTTTTTTTTTTTTTAATGTAAAAGTAGCTGGCTGGAGGTCGAAGCAGTGTTAAGATGAATTGTTTTCCAGACAGGGGAATTCACAGCATATTAGTACGATAATGAGAGCTGGAGCAGTAAGGAAAAAGTTAAAATAGAGGTGAATGGCCAGAGTGATGTCCTTGAATAGGCTGGAGGGGAAGGAAGTTATGTCGAGTGGAAAGAATGGCCTGTTACTACTCATTACTCTGTACCCCGACCTGGTAGTGCCCAAACTTTTCATGTATGGCTCTCTTTTTAATGTTAACAATTTTCAAGGACTTTTTTTTTTTTTAGGACTTTCTATGTTAGCCATTGCGCTTGCTCTGAGTACTCACAGATGAAGAAAATAGAATGATAACTATATCATTATCATGTAATTAATTATAATCATAACTATATTATTATATAATGAATATAAGTATTAATTATATAATTATAACTCACAGATGAGGAAAATAGAATTATAACTATATTATTAATTATAATAGCAAAGTTATATTTAAGAAAAAGTACAGTTATGTGAGAGACATTGGTTGTTGCTGTTATTGCTGCTCTGTTTGGTGCATATTTAGACTGATGTCTCCTTTGAAACCCCAAAGATTCATGCGTACCGCCCAAGGTTTGGAAAACCTGCTTTAGCAAAACTGCACAACCAACCCCTTGCCTTCTGAATATGCCCAGGTGCTTACACACACTCAGATCCTATTTCATCTGAGATTTTGTCTTCCACATCCCGCAGGGCATGGTGCAACTCCTCCATAAATTCTTTCCAATCATACACCTCACTTCTTTGTGTTTCAGTAATTGTCTGTTCTTGTACTTTAAACTGCTCGTATTGCTTGTATGCTAATTGAATGTACAACATATACCTCTAGGACCTAAACACTTCAAAAATGTGACAAATGCAGGAATATTTCTGTGTACATAGCTTCTCTCCTCTATTACCTGAGATTCCTTCAGCCTGAAGTTATGTCTTTTTCATCTTTATTTCTTAGCAGCGGATGGTTCACTATTGAACGGAATGGAAATGCTTGAAAAACTGGGTTGATTCTGTGGTATTCCAGAGAACAGAATAATTATTAGTGGGCGAAATTAAGAATAAGATAGATTTTTGGCCTAATGAAAGGAAACATTATAATCTTTCGAGGTCTTAAAAATTGGAAAGACTGTTATTTAAAATAATGAGTTCCAGGTAAGAGAAAATATCCAGGGCAAAATACCATTTTTTTCTCCCAAGTACCATTTAAGCTCTGAACACTATACCAAGTGTATCAAACAGCATCACATCCCCACTTTACTCGAAGTGGTCAAGAAGCTTGTCTCAGTATACAGCTTGTAAGTGGCAGTGTTGGTACTGAAACTTGAGTCTGTGTGATGAGCAAGTCCAGATATTTGACTTGGATGCCTCACTGTGCAGGAGGGATATAGGAATAGATAAATCTCCAAGGTTATAAAAGAAGATACAATTCTAGGAAAATGCTAGTTATTTAAGTAGCACCCTATGCTTTTATTATAGTTTACCAGGGTCGCCTTCCAAATGAGAGCCATGAAATGGAACACTGAAAAACAGAAGCCATCCATAGGGAGGTGCCTGAGATATCTTTCACTTTGTTCATCCCCATTTATTTTTAGATCCAAATTATCCTTGATCCAGAATAAGAAAAAGTCCAAGTTCACTGCCAACCATCTTATGATGAGATAACCATTGAGTGGGCTTGGGGAGCATTGGGAGACCTCTTCAAATGTTGAGGATACTTCGTGTTTCAAGCACTGGACACAACACTCAGACTATATCATCAGTATTACCATAGTTCTCAGTATGCACCTGAAGTATGTAGGTGCTTAATTTTATCTCCCTTGTCCTCCATTCTCTTTGAGTCCACATATATTCTGAGATTTTCTTAGATTCTGTAATTTCTGAGTTCTGTTATTTCTTGAGTATAAATAACGAATAAAAGAATCAATTTTATTTGATAATGTGTCATCTATGAAGACAAGAAAAAATTCTGCAAATTTATATGGTAAACCATTAATCCAGTTCTCCACAAAAGGAGAATGCCATACTTTTGAAAAACTTTGATTCTTGTGTTTTGTTCAAGAAAATATGTATTTACTTGCAGAGAATGGGACAAGGATATTGAATAGGGAAATATCCTATACAAATGTTTTCGTCACATTTCAATATGTTTGCTCTTTCAGCAAATAATCTAACTTGACATTTAGAAGCTTGGACATAAAGGAAGACGTTGCCACCCCATCCTTCTGTGTTTCTGCTGGTTATTTTGACAGTCCACTCACTATAACTAAAGAAAGCTTTATTCAAGTGAACATCAACTTCACTTTCCATAGAACTATGACCTAAAAAAAAAAACAAAAAAAAAAACAATCTTTTAACTTCCTTTGGGGAGCCATGTGACTGACTGCCTTGTCAGCAAGCTACTTTTCCTGAATCTAAGTTATTTCCTTTCCTACGGAGAAAAATTGCTGTTATCACTTCCAACCCCTCAGTAATGGCTTTTTTCATGTATAGTATATGCTTTAGAAAAAAAAATGAATGTCTCTTCCTTTTTGCTTATTTGCTCAAAAATTGTTTATTCTAAAGAAAAATGTAAGGATATAAGCACATTTCATGTACTGTAAAAAAAAAAAAATCAGCATCTTCAGAGATTTCTGATCCAATAGACAGCTAAAATTCTCTAAAACAGCTATTTTAAGACATTCATTTCAAATACCTAAAACCCAAGAGAAACATGGTCTGGCTAAAGCCAGTATCATCCAAGTACTTCCTGATTTCTTTTTAACTTTTTCTTCAGTTTTTATCCCACATAACTTTTCTTTAACATTTAACACTCGACCCTACTGACTGGTGTGATGTTCCCCTGTCTTACTTTTAAGACATTGGTCCCATCCTTATTTCTTCTCTTAATGACTTTTTCTGACCCTTCCTCACTAGCCTCTCTCTCACCTGGCTCAGGCCTTTAAATGCTCTAGCCTTTGCATCCTGCTTTCTTTCTATATGTTCTAAACGGACATTCTCAACCCACCTGCCTAGCTTCAAGCCTCATCTACACATTGATTTTTCCCACATTCCACTTAGACTTCTCTCCTGAACTCCCACCCAGTCATCCCCTGGGAAGCTCCCCTTAGATGTCCCCCCATCACCTCAAACTTAACAGGTCCCAAACCACACCCGGTATCTTCTCAGCCAGCTCTTCCTGTGTTCCCATCTCAATGAGAGTATTTTTATACACCCAGCAGTAAGCTTAAAATCACTGACTCATCCTCAATTTAATTCTACTGTAAAGATTTCTCCTCCTATCTGCCCCTTCTCACCCTTCCCCATTGTCATACACTAAATTCATGCACTCACAGCTCTCCAGATGATCACAGCTATGATCTCCTAACACCCTGGTTCCTTATCTCTCCCGTACTCAAAGTCTGACATTCTGTATATCATCTTCTTTCTTCAAGAATCCAATAATCCTCCATTTCATATCCAGGAAAATCTCAAGCTCCTGAACAGATACTACAAAGCCATTTACAGTTTAGCCCCAATGGCTCTGCCGGCTGTCTTTCCACGCACTCTCCCTCCCCCCTATCCCAAAGGCATATGCACTAGTCACCACAATCTTTATATCATTTGTCCCTGTACATGCCATTTTTATCTTTGCTTAAAATTCATCCCCCACCTCTGTTTTTTGCCTGCCTCATTGTGCCATTCGTTTTCCAATAGCCGGCTCAAATACCATCTTCTCTTTGAAGTCTACCTGACTTCTCCAGGTGCACATTCTCTCACTGCTTCTACTGCCCTTACAGAGAGGTTATGGCAGGGCCTGTTAGCAGGACGCTCTTCCCTTTTCCGGCTCTACCTTTCTACTCAAACCCTGGAAGTAAACGTAGACTGGGAATATAAGGTGGTGGTGTTCTTGAGATAGGCTCTCAAGCAGGAAGGATGGCAATTTGTACTTGTACTGGGTAAAGTGGAGGAGGGCAGAGGTGAGGATAAACTCATGCCTGATGACTAACTGGACTGAGGGTTCATATCTGAAAGCAGCCAGAAAATGATGGGGCTGCCTCAGATGCTCTGAAGAGAATTAATACTCAGTATAGTACAATTGGGAAGAATGATTTAGAAACATAACAACATCATATTTCTTATTGAGTTAACACTGCTTAGTAAACTAGGTACTTATATAAACCCAGTTAAATGGGCAGAAACTCTGCAAGGAAAGAACAAATTTTAATCCCAAATCACTATCAAAGCAAATTTTCCATTACTGTTTTATTCTTGATTCCAAGGAATAAAGCCATTGCTATATCTCTAGTGAACCCTCTGGAAATCAAAGCACAGTCAGAAGTCCCCAGGAAAGACACAAAGAAATGCACAATCTTATTCTGATCCAAAGTGTGATTCTGACTCATAGTATAGGGATGAAGCAAAGATAGATGACAGCTTCTACTCAGATCAAAGTTTAGAGTAAGTACTTAACCAGTTGCTGAATGATCGGGAACTTGCTGGAACCACTGACTACCCTGTTGATCAGTGTATCAGGAGGGATATTACTGTAAGCCACCCATATTTGGAAATAGCTGATATGTTTGTTCATTTTCTCTCAAGGGCAGAAATGCAAGATATTTTATTATGTTATAGGATACTAACAGTAATTTATCCCAAAATTATTCTGAGGGAAGACGAGGCCATTCTTGAACTTGTGTCTGATTCTCATTCTGTATTCTCAAATCTTCCACTTGTGCTGCATACCTATATATTCCACACTATGTTGCTTGTCTGCCAATTCTGTTCCTGCCAGATCTGTATTAATTTCAGTCTATTTTCTGAACGACATCTTGCTTTCTCAGATCATTTTCCATAATCTATCTGAAAACCCAAGGCACTCCACTACAATGGAAATCTTTGGACCATATATACATACAACATCACCTTTAAGGTGATCGCATTGCCTATATACTTGGTCAGAGAGAGCTTTTATTTTCAACTCTCTCCTGGAAAGATGCCTCTTCTCTTGAATTTCCTACACTCTAGCCAATTCCCCATTACCTCCCTCTTCTCCTGGACTCTAGTTTCCTGAACTTCAGCATCCCCTTTAGCTGACTCTCCCCTGAAGTCAACATTTACTACTCTTGGGGGGCATCCCTCACAATAATGTAGAAGCAATTGTCGTAGAGATGTCTGTGAGAGACACAAATAATTGTCGAATATAGTTCCAGCAGGTTCTGCACTTTAGAGTTCCGCCAACACTAGAAGGAACCAAGTAATCAGAGGTAGGTGAGCATAAAGATTGCCTAAAATATCAGTAGTCATTTAATTCTTAACCTTGTGTGTTTTCATGTAGGACTTCAAACAATCCAACACAAAGGAGAACAGAGACTGTTTCTAATGATAAGCAGAGAGGTTGGCTTCCTTACCTTCCTCCCCCTCAATTTTCAAATGGGTTCAAGTAATTTGAAAACCAGAATTACTGAACAAATAAGTATTCTGGGCACATTGAAACACCTTTTATGGTAGGAGTAGGTAAATTTTGGTGAGGTTGTTATAATGGCTCTTTTTTATACCCCGGAAGTTCTATTTTAAACATCTATCTCCGCTGGAGACTCTGGGATTGCAATACACCGTCTGGGATATGCTTCATTACGTGGTGATGAAAGTAATTGTGGAATGCTGTTATGCTTTGCAGGTTGCTGGCAACTTCAACAAATATCTAAGACTCTTTTCTCTTCCTTTTGATTTAAAATATCACATATAAGGCTTGGCATTAAAATCAGAAGTGTAAAAGCTGCTGGCATCTGTAAATCTTTCATCCTGTAGGTACTCCCTGGTCTGCAAAAAGATCTGCAGAGAATGCTGACTGGATGTCTGAGAGCACCTCGGCAGAGGAGGAGCCACCCATTTCTTTATCATAACAGCTCCCCCTGCTGCTTCAAAGTCAAGGCTTCACCATCGTTTGCCATTTTCCTTTCAGCTTTTGAGGGACTCTGGAAATGTGGCTGGAAAACATTATCCTCAACTGAACCGTGGCCAGGAAAGTCTCAGGAGGGAATTCTTTCCTGACATAAAATTAAACCTGGCTTCAGCATATCTTAGGGGGGAAAAGGAGGAAAACTTACTGTTGATGTTTCTTGGCTTGGTTTTCCCTCTGTTCTTAAAGCAACATTATTTTAAAAATCTGTAACAAAACCTGTCACCTGCCAAGTCAGTCCAAGGGTCCCAGTGGCTCACGGCATGGGTTTCTCCTGCCCTGCTCTGTTGCCTGACTCCACGCAAACTTTGCAAAATCTCTTCATAAACAGATGCTTTTTAACTTACCTGCGGTGGGAGCAGTGGCTCCCCCCTGCCCCCCCCCCCCCTCCCCCCGTCGTGGAAGGGATCCTAAGCCCAAAGTCCCACGGAGTCCCAGGCACTGGGGCACCAATGTGGTGGTGGGACTTCAAAGGCGCAGTAACCAGGTCTCCAGGTGATTTCCTCCTTCATCCTCGCTTGATAGCTTCCCAGGACTTCAGAAGTGGCGTAGGAGCAGTTGACCCCAGGCAATGTCTTTTCAGGTCTAACTAGATGCACTACTTATTTGGAAAAGAAAATCTGGAAGCTGTGGTTAGCTGCCTTTGCCTCTCTGTGCCTGAGGTAGATGGTGTGATGATTATTATGCGACCTAATGTCACTGGTAAGAAGATGGGAGATTATTTATTCACCAGTCAGATGTTACAATTGAGTCAGAAGGAAACAAACAAGCAAACAAAAAAACAGAAAGAACTGGAATTGCCTACACCACAGTACTGATGGCTCTGGTGAAGGCAATTGATGAAACATGTCTTGCACCTCAAGATGAGGCCAGACACACGTCCCAAATCAACGTTGGTTTGGGGTCACTCTCTTTTTCTGACATGACTTTCCTTTTTGGTTACCATGAAAAACTGTGACTTAGAAACAGTTTGTTTCTGCTCTGGAAGAACCAGAGCAAGTGAATTGACACCGCTGAGAATTTCTGTAGGGGGTAAATGGTCATTGCAGGCGCTTGGATGTTCAGACTTTGGTCTCTGGCTCTGAATTTAATTCACATTAAAATGCACGTGTAGGATTATAGAATGCTATGTCGGTCTATATAGTCAATCTGTACCCTGTGCGGACCAGGACACAATGTGGGACACGCTCCATAAACCCTGCTGGGGAGCAGCTGAGCTGAGCCACAAACACTGAGCACTTGCTTATTGGTCTGGTTTAAGATCTGCTCCTAAGTGGCCCTTGTTGAAGATCATCTCTTCCCGCTGGCTAATATGACAGACTGTTTTTCGGAGGTCAAGGTATTCTCTATCTAAGGCATGTGTTTACAATCTAAGTATTTCATGACAGGAGAGTAACATTTTACAGTGAATACATTTTTTTTTAAAGAGAACAGCTAGCCAGCTACATCGCATGGCCGTAAGTATGGGGGTCACAGTTGTGATTGCAAGGTGGTTCTTTGAGGAAGATGGGTTGAAGCAGAAGGGTCAGGCCAGAGGCAGTGGGTGCTGCCCGAGAGAGCCTGGGAGGGCCTGTTCAGAGTCACAGGTTGGGAGACTTGGCCCTCTTGGGAGTAAAAATGAGAGCACTGTGGGTGGAGCTTGCTTGATGGGGATGGAAGACGTAGAATCTTAAGAGTAAAGAGGTACAGGGAGGAGAGTGGGCTCTGAAGGGAAATTCAATTTCTCTCTTCTAGTTTTCTGAGGCTTAATCTGAGAATTGGCCTTGCCTTCTCTGATATCCAGATACTTGTAAAGAGATTTGGTTGTTCATCTTAATAAGTGCTTTTGTTCTTTGTCTGTTTGTGTAGGTCTCCAAATAAAGACTAGGGAGCTGGGTCCTGGAGCAGAGGATCAATTCCAGCTGTCACCCCTGGAGCCTGTCATCTTCTCCCGCCTGGTCTAGTGTGGTACTCTTCTCTCTGCACTCCCATTCCACCTGCACCTCCATATGCAAAGACAACCCTGGTGATATCGCTGGCCAACTAAAAAAACAGTTAGTATTTAAATTTGATCAACTGAATAATTTCTTTCCTGTGGTATATTGATTTATCGGTACCCACTACTTAGCCCCCCTTGCTGTGAGATCACTCATTCACATCCAACGCAATGTGACTTTTAATGCCCCCTGCATTAGAAGGGTGTTCTTTGTCTTATTGATGGCGGATTTGGCCATATGACTTGTTTCAGCCACTGGAATGTGAGCAGATGTGACATATAACTTGCCTTTGGCAGAAGCTTCAAAAGCCATTGTATGTTTCTGCCAGTCGTTTTCCTTGAGAAACCATGCTTCCCCAGTAGAGTGTGCCCCTTCAGCCGTGGACTCAGAATAAGATAGGACACGTGCAATAGAACTGTAGCAGCTGATCCACGATCACCAATAGAACTGTAGCAGCTGATCCATGATCACCAACGTGTGATGCAAATGAGAAACAAATGTCTGTCTTAAGCCACTGAAATTTGGGGTTTGGTTGCTACAACAACCAAAATTACCAATAGAAATCCCTCCCACCAGTTAGCCCCAATCTCCTTGCCTGGGTTCATGGTACCACAACTGCACATGCACCCTCCATTACAGCCAGTCTAGGAGCATCTCCACTTCTCAGTCTCCTTGTTTCTGCCTGTATTATTCTCCTAGCTCAAACTATCTTTCCACAGTCTTTGCAAACCTCACCTTAAAGATTCTTCCAGCTAGCTCAAAATCTATCTCATATGTGAAATTTTTCTGAATGTCTTGCTTTGAAGTGATTTTTTCCTTCCTCTGAATTGCAACAAGCATTCCATGTTTATGCTACCCAGCACTCTCTTTAATAAGAAGAAATGATGTTTATGATGTTTATTGAGCACATACTTTATAGATTTGACGCTGGTCTTTAACCAACTGTGTTAGTTTGGATACATTAGGATTAGATGAAATGAAAGGTTAATTGTGAGTGAAAAGCCTGTGAAGGATAAAAGGGGAGGGAGGAGCAGAAAGCGGCAGGAGCCTTCCTACCACAATGATGGTCTGACACTGTGGAGGAAGAGAAGGAGGAAGGAGGATTGGTCTCATGCTGCAGTTTAATTCCCAGAAATGTCCTGCCAAGCCAATGAGAGTCTTCAAGCCAAAGTCTTCATCTTTTCGAGAGTCCCCCATCTCATAGAAATGACCTACATTGGTACCCTCACCATGGTTGGTCATTGACTGGGATCAGCCCTGTGGGAATATGGCAGTACATCCAAAAGGATAGTAACTGGGTTGTTCATCAGTTATGCTCCCAAAATATGAAATCTGAGCAATTCTTTCTCGTGGACATCATGTCAACATTAGTTTATCAAATCTTCACAAAAATGCTATGAGGTCAAGACTGCTTTCATTCCTCTTTGAGAGTAAAAAAACTGCGGCCTGAGGAGATTAAGTGACCTTGTCACCATCAGTCAGCTAGCAATGGGATGGAGCCTGACTGGTCCTCTAAACTATCATGGGACTTTAACTCCAGGCATTTATTGGGTGAATGAGGAAATGCACCTTGATGTCACCTGTGAGAAGGTGAAAATCTGAGATGATAGTAATCAATGCCACTCTGGTTTTATTGGACCCAGAAGTGCACAGTCCTTCCCCCAGCTATCATGATACACAAGCTTTATCCTTGTCTGTGGGTTAAAGAACAGAACTGGATGTGTTTTCAGAAGACTATTTGCTTTTCTGATAGAATATTCAGAAATATTTTATGAATAAGACAGCTCATTAGAAATGATTCCTAAAACCCCAAGGAAACAAAGCTCTTTTTCCCGTCATTCCTGAGCCATTAATTCCAGTCCATTTCCTGCTGAGTCTAATAGACAATGTGTTGTTAATCTTACAGTCTGTTACATCATGCCTGTTCTTTTGGTCTTATGAATGCAAACTTCATTTTCTCCTTAGAAATCGTTTTCTTGTTCTGTGACTATGTTTCCCTTTAGTGAGAAGTTGCAAATGATCTTGCTGAGAGAAGCAAACAAAGACAGACTCAGATAGACCGTTTTTATTTTGACGGGAGACCTAAACTACTTCCCCTCACCTCAAAAAAGAAAAACAAATAAAGAAAAGAAAACAGAAGAAATTTTAGGATTTGGGTAAATAAACCATTACATCCTATCACCCTATAAACCAAGCACTTCCCCTTTCCCTTTCTCATGAGTCCACTTTAAGAAAATAAAAACTAAAAAACCCAAGCATAGATAAATAGATATACAGATAGATAAGAATATATCTCTATATGATATGTGTTTGTGTGTGTGTGTGTGTGTGTGTGCATGTGTATAATAGTCTTCTTTCCGCTGCAGTGTGGGGTATAGAGAATGCTGGCATAGTGAGATCAAAACACTTTCTAGGCTGAGCATACCTGCAAGAATATTTTTCAAGGAAAAACTAGAAGACACCAAACAAGCAACCAATCAACCTCCTAAATCCTCCAAAGTTTTTTCTATTTATTACTGTTCCGCTGATCACAGTGTATGGGGATTTTACTTTTAAGCTTAGTGTCAAGACCTGACCCAGACAGCACAGTGGGAGTGGTATCAACTACCTTACAAGCACCTTTGACTGGTGCAATAAACAAGCCTCGTTGTCAGGCCTATAATTAAAGGACATTTTACCCCACTGCTACTTTAAGATTAATTCACTGGGTAATGTTCATTGTTGTTGTTGTTGTTTTTTTTTTTTTTCCTGCCTTTGGAATAAAAATAGGAAGCACCTTGACATTTCTGGCCATTCTTATTTTATAAAAAGAGATTGCAAATTCCATAAGTTACAAAACACGGTCTTATTTCAGAAAGTAGGATCTTTAGCCATACTACATTAATTAACACTGCAATTTAGATTCAAAAATATGACTCATCATCCATTTGCCAGAGCTGGCACTGGACAAGTCTGTCTGATGAAAGAGGTGTCATGGGCTTCTAGCTTCCTTGGCAACCTTTCCTGCCACTCCATTGCTGTTCTTTCTGACTCTGGGGCTGAAGAACAGAAAAGACAGATAAAGGGGACCAGAAAAACTTACTTAACCACCATGCCTGTACATGGCTTCTTGTTCTCAGAGCCTCTCAGATATTCTGCTAGGACTCCCAACCTGCTTGGCCCCTCAGAAAGTATCAGACATCAGCTCTCTTCACCTTTGGCCTATTGTTCATCCCCCTCGCCTTCAGATTTCTACTGCTTCGTTTTATACAGATCCTCTCAGTAAGGAACCCCCTGTCCCCAGGCAGAAATTCTTTTAGGGCTTTTTTTAGGATCCCATATAAAAAGGCCCCAGGCTGGCATTCCTCCACCTGGCCCTTGGCATTATATATCTTGGCTTACAGTTGGAGGGAATAAAGTTAGCCCTAGCTGCAGCTCCCTCTGCTCCCATGGAACACCAGAGGGTCTCTTGCTCTGACATGTGTCAGAGAAACTTCCCAAACTCAGGCAACAAAAGCAGATCCTCTATGTCCTCTCCTTTGAAACCCTGGTAGCTTGTGAGAAACCACATCTCAGCCCTGCCTAACCCCCGGTGTGGGAGGGTGGAACTCACCGTCCCACTCTATCTCAAGCGATTCTCCTCCAGCTTCCTTTCAGTTTACCATCTGGGGAATCTCTATATCCTTGAAGTGGGTGACAGGCCCGAAATCATGTAACTGGTTCCTAGGGATTTACTTGGAAGACTACATCTTGATTGATTATGCCTTGATTGAAGGTCTCTCCACTAGATATTTGACATTGCTTATTTGGCATTTCAGTTGAATCTTCCATTACTATTATGTATCAACTCCTTTCAACGTTCTCTGCTTCTTCTAGTATCTTCTGTGGAAATTTCCATGTTCTTATATTGCACGCTTGGTAAAATACGTCACCTTACTGGGGCTTAGCTTTTGTTCATTCTCCTCACCCCTTTTGACATTCAACATGGCCCAGTCCTCCCCATCCCTTAACTCCTCATATTGGAGATTTGGGACTTCCATCCTGAGAGCCTTGGTCTTTGTCAAGCTAGTTGTGAATGTACTGCTATTGCACTGTTGCTCCATACTGCATGGAGGCATTTCAAAATACTACTTGGACTCAGTTTTTTAAATTTGTGGATGCTTTGTTGTTTTTGTTGTTGCTCTTACTTTTTAGCAAAGCCCCTTTTACAAACTAAATATTTCAATCCATTTGTTGGCAAATGTTTCAAACAAATTCACAATGAGTAAATGAGGATAAAGCCAGAGTGGGGTCCCAGAGAGCAGGATCCCAGAGGCTGCCCATTTGGCTCCTTCCACAGACCCAAACACTTTAAGAAACACACTTGGAAAAAAAAAATCTCTACTTTAAAAGATGAAGTGACTTTTGAAATGGGAGCAAAGCATAGAGGGTTGATTTTACCAAAGAATGTGTACCCCAAAGCACTTCAGAAGCCAACTCTATATGAAAACTAGTGACTCTAATGGCCCCAGCCCTGATTCCCTGCTTCCTTCTAGCATGATCAGCTTCTAAATGCCACCTCTTGGAGAGACCTCAATGCGCTTTGGAATTCAGTTTATTTATTTCTCTAAAATCTGAGCTTCTGAAATGAGATCTCTATGAAGAAACTCATAAAAGCAAAAGGCCTCTTTTCTTTAAAAAAAAAAAAACAGAAAACAAAAACAAAACCCAATAGCTCTAAAAACTTTATTCTGTGGATTATGATGTTGATGGCATTTTAATGCCGTTCCTTAAATCCCTAAACCCTAGGAACCACTGAGACTTTAACAGACTAATCACGCTTCAGGCCTTTTGAACTTTGATTGCCAACCACCGTTATTGCTTTGAGTTTTCCAAAGGAGAGCCAACATTTCCCTTTACCCTTCTCACATTGCTTTTTTCCTATAAATGTACTAACACTGTGATATCGAGGTCATCTGGCCAATATAGAGGAATGGCTCTTACTCTTTCACTGTCCCACCTCCTAGCCTAGAGGGTGTTTTAAGATTCTCACACATATTCAGATCTCTCACTCAGGCATGTGGAGGGAGTCCAATGTT